TTAGAAAAAGATTAATTAATGACTGGCTGCTAATAAAATGGCAATCATGAAGAAAGAAACCGAGGGTGCTAAGCTTCAACTACCACCAATTAAGAGCTAATTACAAACAAATTATATATGTGTTTTGCTGTGGGCTTTAATTTACTAAAATGGTTTTAATTAAAAGAGAAAACATGCTGATTAATTGAACTGCAGAAAAAATCTACAGTATAAACTGTGCTTTGTCTGTCTCTTTAATTAGACTTGTAACATCTGAAATCTTTTTTTAAGGTTTTTTAAAAGCACAGATAAACATAATGAAAAGGGAGCATAAGGAACACCATTCTAGGTGATCATCCACTCATACCTCAAAGGTTAAAACATCCTCAATGTGATGAATCTAAGCAAGCGAGGAGAACCCACACTCAGTACCATTTTTGCTTTTCCCATGTTAAAATGCTCCAACTTCAAGGCTGCACACAATGTGTTAGTGAGAATGAACATATGTTGAACCTCAATGTAAAGGAACTCAATGAAGTCTTTCCTTACCTGCATAGGAATAGTTTATTTTTCATACCTTGTGCTAATTATTCATCTATGTGAGATAACTGAATTACTTCTAAAAACTAAGGAGAACAAGGCTTCAAAAGTATTAAAATCACCATTTAAAAGCCTCCCATTCTATGCGCAGACTACAAAACGATACACAGACGAACATTTAAATTAAAAAGCCACTAAGACAACCAAAGTTAATGAAAGGGAGTCAGTTCTAGATGATCCTTGATAGACACATACCCCCCAGGGGGCTGAGAGCGAACTTGCCCAAGAAGCTGATCATGCTGCTGACCAGCTGACAGAAGCCTACAGACCGAGTGGGAGCTCTTCTCTCCCCGGAGCCCTGTCCTTTCCCACTGCTACTCGGTGAAATGTACCACACAGAAAATGGCCCTAAACTCTACTGTCTAACTGCAAAGAGAAAAAGACAGAAGGCAGAGTAGTAAAATTTCAAAGAAGGCCATAAAATATATTTCGCAGGCATTAATGACTTTATAATGAAATAATGTATTCTTCATATAAACCCCTGGTACTAGATTAACAGAATAATGTCATTTCTACAAAAATAAAATAATGAAATGGAGATATTTAATTTTAAATTCTTAATATATACAAATGAGTAATATTTAATGCACTTTTACTTTGTTTACACACTCTTCAGTGGCTAGAAATCACAATAATTAAGAAAATGGGCAGTACCTGCCATTCTTCATAAGGTCACAGGTTCTTACAGTAGCTCACTGGAATATATGTTCAGCTTCATATCGAATTATTTTACTTTGGAAACATGGTTAAGATATTTCTACCCATTCACAAAAATAGGAAGAAACTACTTCTGCTCTCTGGATTATAGAATTAAAGGTTTAGAACCACAAAATTTCCTTCATTGTAGTAGTCTTTCAGTTCAGGTTCTTTCACGTGATGTCAACACCTTTCCTAAAATGTTAGAGCTCTGAAAATAGCATTGATTGGCAGTGACTTTAAACTTACCAAGTTTGGCAGCATTTCTATTCCAAAAATGTAAACAAATGTTTCAATTCTGAACTCTAGATATGATAATGCTTCATGTGCTTTGATAGCTAAACCTATCAAAATTATTTGGGAAGAGGTGGGTTTTTTTTGGGGGGGGGGGGGAGTCTCAAAGAGGGGGCAGTAATTCAAGCTCTTATTCCATCAAGACAACATGGCACGTACATCACCATAAACTAAACCAGAATAAAAAGGGTGAACTGTAGCCAGAATCCTCACAGGGAAACAGCCTAACAGTGAACTGTATTGGGAAAATTCTGAAAGCCAGAATAAGCACTCTGGATCCGAAGCATTTCTGATGAAGGACCACTTCTTAGATGTTCATACAAAATGCAAAAACTATCCTTCAATGTATATATACCCCTCTTCAATGAGAATGCCTTCAGATTTTCTAGGAAACTGCTCTAAAAACAGAGCTTTATGCTCCAAATTAATAACCTGCCTAAATTTAAGACAGCACTTAATGTGTTTAGCTAGGAAAAAATATAACTCAAACTTTTTTTAAAGGCCATTCCTACCTTTGTTATTTTAAATATTAACAAACTATTATTTCAACATTAACTTTACCTATGTTTTAGAATCCAAACATTTAAGTAGTCTATTTTAAAAACTAAAAATGTAGTATTTTTATCTATTAAAAAGTAGTATTATAATGGGATATTTTTATCATTTATACTGTGAGACCTTGATTAGGTTCTAAAAAAATACTATATCCAACAGCACTAATGGTGGAAGTCATTGCCTTTGTCCTGCATTCATAAACTCGAGCAAAAAGCTTTAAAATATCAACAGTTTATGTCATTACTCCAAATGAAGGTTTTAGGCCTTAGCAAAGATGTGAATATCAATACCTTGCAAATCAGTACAAATATGTGTGTGTGTGTAAGTAATATTTTTAAAAAACAACTTCTTAAACAGATTCATCAGTATGACACAAACCCACGTATATTTTTCACTTCATCTCTCCTCCAAAATTGTAGGGAGTCCCAAAGCAACATCACCACATGGCAAAACCAGAGGTAACTGCACAATCTAGGCTCTAAACACGGAACCTGTTTCTATACAAATTCAGATCACAGACATCCTTACGGTCACCATTAACCTAAGGCAGTGATGGCAAACCTATGACATGCGTGTCAGAGGTGACACGCGAACTCATTTTTTTGGTTGATTTTTTCTTTGTTAAATGGCATTTAAATATATAAAATAAATATCAAAAATATAAATCTTTGTTTTACTATGGTTGCAAATATCAAAAAATTTCTATATGTGACAGGGCACCAGAGTTAAGTTAGGGTTTTTCAAAATGCTTCCCTTAGGTCCTAAGGGAAGGTGATTCTGGAGAAAAAGTGCTTGCTGTGTCACAACCACAGGGTACTGACAGCCTTATTTTGAGGAACTGTATTCAAGGCCCATCCCCAAACACTGTTCTACTTTGGGCTTCATTTTCCTCAGGACTGGTCCTACCCTATTGGTTTCACAGGCTTATAAATGTTAAACATCAAAAATTAGTTTCACTTATTATGGTTAGAAAAGGCTTACAGAACTCTGGGATCTGTGCCTCTGAGCAAAGGCTTTATCAGCTGGCCCCAGTCACTGCTTCTTGAAAAAAGAAAATGCTCCTGATTAAAAACCAACATACCTGATTTCCAAAAGGGTACTCACCACGCATGTATACATTTAATTACAAAGGGTTTCTGTCCCAACTCACAATTACCTCCTTCTCAAAATCCCATCTCTCATCTCCACGGTGTTTGACAGCAAAGGGATAAATATAAAAATTAAATCTCAAACTAAACTATTTATTAAGAAATTCCATCTTGATTACTTTATTCTTCATGGGCACTTAATTAACATAGCATCAGTATCTTTCCAATGTCTGTGTCTGAACAGCAAACACCTTCCAGATGTTTTCCCACTTATACAAAGACAAGAATAGGACTCAAATTATTGTCTTCTTGTCATCAGAATCCTCAACCCACCCTAAATAAATTTATTGTAGTAAAACAAAGCATTACATTTGTATGACTGTAAAAAGGGCACTTGAGAAAAATGTTTACTATCCTTACAAATGCTGAAAATACCATGTATTCCTATAGCAATCGCATTTGTCGTAAGTGTGACAGAAAATAACAGCCCTTAAAATGGAAAACACCTCATCTGTATGATACAATTCCCACTTCCAAACAGCAGTGTGACAAAGCAAAACACAGAACTAGACACCAAATACCCGCCAAGGAAACATTCATTTCTGAAGCCTCCAAGGCACACGTCTGTGCAGCCTCACGGGCAGCTTCGCGGCAGAGAAAGGAAAGCTCACGAGGAACAGGGGCGGGGCAGACAAGGTGGAGTGAACAAGCAGCCGCTGCCTGCCACCAGCCACAGGTGAGCCGTCTCCTCCCAGGGCATCAGTTAAGCTTCAGGAAAGAAAGATAACTTCTAAATCCCTAAGCCTCACTACTGGACATAAAAATACAAACCTCACAAAATACTTATAGCTGGCAGCCAAAAATAGAAAACAAACAAACAGCCATCGATAGATTTTTGACATCTAATGATGTAAGAGTGAAATAGTATTTCCATAGAAAAATTTATTAAAATAGTAATTTCATCACTCGTCTCAGTTAGAAAATGCTCACCTGTAGGTGAGTAAGAAAGAACAGTATACACGGCCAACAGTTTACACAGATGACTGATGCTGCTGTCCACATACTCAAACCCCATGGACCAGTTACAGCTTAAGAATAAAATGAAGAAAGGGGAGAGATGCTAAAAGTGAAAGCTATAGTAGCAACGACAAAAAAATTTACAAAACAACAGCAACACCACCACATATGCCAATATGAGCTCTTTACTCTACGTGTGCCCTTGCCTAGCAACACCTGGCAGTGATCCCCCCAGAAGGTGCAAGTCAGAATCTTCCAGAAGCCTGGTACTTGGAAAAAGAATATTCAATATATCTATTAGTTTTGTACTATAAACTATACCTTTTTTTGTTTTAAAGACTGAAAATTCTTTAGGGCTGAGGGAAATGTGCAGAGTATGAAATAAGAATGCATTATGGGGAGCAAGTGTTAGAAAAACATTGAGAGATGTGGCATTACAACACACAGAGTTATATCAACTCTCCTCCGGGAGAGTTAAACTGAGGTAATGATGCAAACAGAAGAAGAAAGCTAGCCGCTAGCCTTTTCATCATAAGGGGCAGAAAGGTCTCTGAACTAGGTAAAATCATGCAGTATTTCCACCGTAAGTTTTAGACTTAATTTAAAAACATTAAAAACAAAGATATTTGTAAATACATGGCAGAACAAGAGGGAAGAAAATGGACTGGAAGGAAAATCGTAGGTCAAAAATCTGAATACTGAACTTACTTATGATCATAAAAAATGTACATTCATTTTAGAAAATTTGGAAATAAGAAAGGTTTGACTTACCTCTCGGGTAGCTAGCTGGTTGCTGAGCTCCTCGGCCTTCTCAATATTCCACTCTTCCACAGCCTGGTCTATGCTCTTTTCAAGGCCCGACTAGAAAGAAACAGAACCTGAAACTTAAAGGCAGAAAAGAAAGGCAAACAAACATTCGCTAGCACAGACTATGCAGCAGGCTACAGTTTGAGAACCACTGACCTAAACAATGCCTCCCGTTCCTCCAACATCTTTCCTTGTTTAGGCTTTCCCCACCATTTCTTTCGACCATTTTCACATCTAGGTGCTTCAGCAGCAATGTCAGAGAAAGTCAAATAACTCAACCCACTGGCTTCGCTAAAAGCCATTTAAACAATCCAGCTGGGTGGGCTCTCAATGCTGCCCTTGACAGGCTCCACAGGCCTCTATGACACTGTTACATGTCTCTCCCATTACTCCAAATACCCTCAACCCCACCTCCTTCCTTTTCAGACTGTAACTCTACCCCCACTTTACGGGAGCGGGAGAAGGGAGGGAAAAGAAGAACCAAGGATATGTATGTCCTTTCTACAATCTTCCTCTCATCCACCTCAAAAAAGTTATCTTCAGGTATTCTGTTCTTCATTCCTTACTGCCCCCAGGAAAGAATCATCTCCCTTGCAAGACTAACCCCACCTCCTGTGCTCACCACAATCCCATCTGCTTTCATGCTATCCAGAACCTTGCTCTTTAAACTTTCTACCCCCATCTTTCTTTCATCCTACAAACAAGCTTGTCCTCCCCGTTCTGGACCAGGGACTAGATGGGATGCCTCAGCCTCTTTCCTCAAACTGATTTCTTCTTATGTTAGTACTACTTCTCTCTCTTCTAAAGAAAACACTCTTATCAGTTGCCCTGATGTCATCTCATTTCTTAACGCTCTAAGCCAGAGTCTACGGTCACAGGAGACACCAACTGTTGTCCTTTTACCTGAGCATCTTTTATGTTAACTACATCCACGTTCTATCCCCCCCAAATATCTATTTTCAATCTCCTCTGAAGCCCCTTATCTCTTGTTGCCCCTTCGTGACAGCACTCCTGCGATTTCTGTGATTGACCCCTTCTTCTTACTCTTATTTCACACCGTAATTCAATCCTAGGCCTTCAATTAATTCTTATAAGCTGCTTTGGATCTCTATATAATTTAAAGCATCTGACCTTTCACCTTATCAAAATCTACAGCTCCAGCTACTTCCTAGTTATCTTCATATTGAAGGTAGCGTCCTCCTTTTTTAATTATGTCTAAAAACAAGTTCCTCACTCCCGCCTGCTCCTCCTTTAGAGCTGACTACCCTATCAGTCACCCCTGATAAAATCCTCAGTCAGCTTCAATGCCTCCAATTCTGTGCTCTTAATTTAACTGTTTTGTAGTGTCTCTCATTTCTCCTTTCTGTGCTTCTTCAGGGCGTCATAATCTCATTTGAAAGATTATAACCATCTCCAAAGTGGTCTTCTATCTTTCTTAAGCGGATACCATGTCATTATCCAGCTTAAAACAATACCACTTTCTTACTCCTTTTGAATAGCACCCAATTCCCTTCATAATAGGATCTCAGTACCTGTACCTGGAATATTTTAATTAATATTTCTTTTTATAGTCAAAATAAACTATTTTCATTTAAGAAATACTAAAACAATGGCCTCTCCTTCCTACATAGAACATTAGGTATCTCCTCAAATGCCACTGAGATATGTGAAAACAAAACATTAATATCAAACTTTAATTTTCCCTGCACCACAAATTCTGGGGTAGCCTGACACCTCCACCCAGACCTGCTCTCCAGTCTTTCACCTCAGCAACCTGGTCTAACAGCATCCATTCTTGAGCCTGCCCTGCGTATTCCACATGGCAGTCTGCTGTGTCCCTCCAATTAGGTAGGCTTCCTGAGATACGGATCATCTGGGTGCCACAATCCCTTACTCCAGACGTAGAATAACACAGGTCAGCGAGCAGAGAGGAATCCAACCTATTTTTCCACCAACGCCCAAGAATAAACCAGTAGTCTGTTTACTCAGTCAACTTGCTACTTCCCTTTGGCTACCATGGATGGGCCACAGCTTACAAGTTAATGTCACAAAGGGGGAAACAGGAACATTCCCCTCTTCTAGAAACTTGTATGAACTGCTGAGCTTAAAAATATACTTTTTACTTAAAAATAAATCATCTAAAATTATAAATGTATCTCTTCACCATCAATCAACCTCCATTACCCAGCTGTTTGGAGCAGCGTCTAATGGAGATGGCATAATATAGTAGAAAAAACAATGGATTAGGAGTCAGGATTAGGAGTGGTCACAGCTCTGGATAAATGAGGTACTTAATTCTTAAGTGTCTGTTTCATTAAAGAAAACCAGTTATTGGCTTGGATGACCAAAACCCTCTCCTAGAAATAAAATCCTAGAATTCCACTTACATGTTCAACTTTTTTTTAGCACTTTTAGAAGATATTAACATTCCAAATGCTTACATTAGTACAAAATCATCCTTACTAAACTCTTCCATCACCTAGCACCATAAGCTAACAGCACTTGACAAAGAGCATGGCTGGTGAGGTCACAGTCCAGCTCCTCTACTTGACAAAGCTGGAACCACAAATTCACATGTAAAATTCTGTTGTGTGAGTTCCTAATGCACATGCCCTCAATGATGCACCACCACCCAATGGGTGAAAATCAGGTTTTTCATAAGGAATATTGATTAATCAGAAAATGGTAATGATCTCTATGCACACAGTCATCTACAGCAATGGCCCACGAAGGAGGCACACACAAGGTACAGTATACCTGGGCTTCACCAGGCAGGACCCTGTGCTCTAGCCCTACCACTCAGTGGTCTGTTTTCATGCTGCTGGAATCTGTCCATCATTCCTGCATGTGAATATGTAAGTTACTCACGCATTCAAACCTCTACTCAGTATTAATCATCTATATAAAGACCGACAACTCCCAAATGTGTTTCTAAAGCTGACTCTCCTCCAAGCTGCCTCATTTTACCAACAGTCTATTGTCCTCCTGCTTGCTGATATCACCCACGCCCCACACTGAACTCTGGAGGCCCCACTCTAAATCTTCTCCCCTCCCAAGCTTTCCCATCTTCATAACTATTATCACTATGCTTAAGGTAAAACTGTGAATGGCTCTTTCCCTCCTCATTCTCCAAATCCTCCCCACTACCTCACAAACAATCCAGAGCAAATCCTGTCAATTCTACTTCGGCCGTATACCTCAAATCCTCCCACTGTTCCCCATCCTCCGCAGCAGCATTCTTGTTCAAGATGACCTCATGCCTAGAAGGGCCTCCTAACTGCTCTCTTCTCACCTACTTTTGCTGCCCCGCTGTCCATTCTCTACATAATAGCAATCTTTTTAAACATAATTTAGATCATGTCACTCCTTTTAACTGAAAACCCCTGAAGGACTCTCAAGTGCATTGTCACTAAAACCCAACTCCTTTCTCTGCCCCTGAAGGTCCCAGAGTTTGCTCCCTACCTGCCGGCCTCTCCAATCTTATCTTGGGACCCCTCCTCCTCACTAACGGCTCTCCAGCCAGGCTGACCTAGTGACTCCAATGTCCGATGATGAACGACTCTTTCCTCCCTAGGACCTCTATCCAGCCAGGGGTCCTCAAACTTTTTAAACAGGGGCCAGTTCCCTGTCCCTCAGACCGTTGGAGGGCCGGACTATAGTTTAAAAAAAACTATGAACAAATTCCTATGCACACTGCACATATCTTATTTTGAAGTAAAAAACCAAACCGGGAACAAATACAATATTTGTATTTGCATGTGGCCCGCGGGCAGCAGTTTGAGGACCCCTGATCCAGGCAATCACTCTGCACTAGCATTCCTTATTTGGATGGTTCCTTCCCTCCTTCAGGTCTCAGTGAAATGGCATCTTCTGAGAAAGGTCTTCCCTGACCACAACAAGCTAAAGTGGGGCCTCCATTTGAATTTCTTCACAATACCCCATTCATTTCCTTCTTAACAGTTTTTGTTAATGATTTGTAACTATATATTTACTTCTTTATCTAGCACCTTGTTTGGCACATAGAAGGCATTTTAATAGTCACTTAATGAGAACTACCTTTGGCAAGGTTAATTACAAATATTTTCTACTGAGTAATATAAGATGCAATAAAAAAAATCAACAACACTTTACCTTCTCAATTTTTTTCTTTTTAACAGGGGGTTCAAATCTGTCATTGACTCCAAAATACTGAGTAAGTTCCTTCAACTGGGTTTCACTTGGGGACTGTTCACTATAAAAAGATAAACAATACATTTTACACTAAATGTACTCATTTTTATTTTTACTGTTTTTAATTGGTTACTACAATTATATTACAACAACTAGTTCTTATGTTTCAGAGGTAATTAATTTAACTATTTGTACAAATTCTACAAATACTAACTAGAATAGACAGATATTTTCAATTCCACCTACCTATGAGATTCTTCTTCATTCTTCAATTTACCTGAAAAGATTCACAGTGTTAATAGCTAAGTATTTAGTTATTTCAAAATTACATTTATTAAAAATTAATGAACTCAGTCGCAGTTTA